AGAAAGGCGGATATAAAGACGTTCTGAATATCTTCGGAGCGCCGAACAATGCGTTATTTGGTGATCAATGCGGCGCATCGACAGCGAGGCCGGCAAGAACCGTACAGCCGTATCGCTGCGGCGCTCGTAGTCACTCACGTAGTCTTAGCTTTGATGTATACCGCGCCGGTGCATTGTTGGTGCATTATAATGCATACCCGCTAAGAAGCGCGCGGGTATGTCGGTATTACGGCCTCGCGCGCACGCCTCTCCCCGACACCGAGGGTCCGATAATCAAAAGCGTCCTCCCCGCGCTCTCGCGAGCAAGCTCGTGCAAGTGCCCGGTGAAGATTGTATGGAAAAAGGCGCCGTGTATGGGCGTGTACAATTGAAAATCGTATTACGCAGAGGGTCGATCCTGTAGCGATGGTGAAAATTTGCCGTTTCTTTCCGAGCGGTCGCGACAGTCCCATTCCAGAGACCCTGTAATCAGAAACTGGCCATAAGGGTTCGTCAAATTCCCGCGAGTGAGAGGGAAACGATCGTAGAATCGTATAAGGGTGAGATAGCCTATGTTTCTCTCTCACTCGCGGGGATTTGACGAACTCTTATGGCCAGTCTCTGATTCTGTAATCAGGGTCTCTATCCCATTCCCATCGACGGCGACGTCCCGTTCGCGCGCGAATGGGAGTGACGGTAAAGCCGCTGTTGCTCTCGGTATCTGGTACCGGTCATCGCGAACAGGCTGATTACCAGGCTGGACATTCTTTCAGGAGAATGTAATCTCGCAGGCATGTAGTGGCCCCGACGTGTGTACTGTGACGAGGGAAAATGAAGCGTTTGTAGTCTTCAATAGGGCGACATAATGTAAGAGGGGACTCTTTTACGTAATAATATTGAATGTTATTAATGACGCGTATGTCAAACATTATGAGCGATTGAGTCTTTCTTCAGTCCGCGCGTATGAATAGGTGGTGTATGCGCGTGTGTGTACGGTTTCGCCGTAATTCTAAGCGTGCCCTCTCGAACGCGTTTGCACCGCTAAAAAATTATGTTTAACGACACGTCGTTCCAGCCGATTGAACTGCTAGCTGTGCCGTTGATTGCTACATTAAGCGATACACTTAATTGATTGGAACAGGATGTCGTTAAGAACGTTTTCGCCTAATATGGATGTAGCTAGCTGTGTCTGGTGTGTCTCACATTTTAGAGATTATCTGTAGTGCCGTATATTTTTATCAAGCCAGATCTGCAACGCCATCATGCGAAATTGGGAAGAGGGAAAAATGTTACAGTTGCGACTTCGTTAACGCGCCTCCCCGTATAAAAGCGGTGACACATACGCGAGAATGGCTTTAGATCGATCAACAAGAGCTGCTTCAACGCACACGATGCGAAAATCTCGGTAATCACGCCCGGCGAAGTGATGCATAACGCCGTCCAATTAGTAGTACGCGGCGCGGTTTCCCTCGCGGGGAGGGGCAGCGGGGCCCGTCCACGAGCCTGCGTCTGCGGGGAGAGGAGAGAACGCGGAGGAGCGTGGTCAAGCTTCCGTGCTACACCGGCGCTACGCTCCCGCTGGCTCCTACTGGCTTCTGCTGGCGCTAGTCTGTAATTTGCGCGGTCGTGCCCCGAGGATCCACGGCGTCGTCCTCCACCTTGCCTTCATCGTCCTCCCGGAATGATATTCTCTCTCTCTCTCTCATTCTCTCTCCCCCCCTTGTTCTCTCCTTCCCTCGGGATAGGACGACGGGCGAGTTTGTACACTATTTGTGCCCCTGTTGCTGCCCCGGTAGCCAGCGACTGGCCCCCGCGCCGCTGCAATTACAACGCCCCCAGTCGTTTTTAATCTCGAATAACCGGCAAAAAACGTAATAACCTTTTTGCCGCCGCAAGTCGAACATTACGCATGGCGGGCGATGCGGCGCGGTGGACCCGCCACTCCCGGACGGCCGGCCCCGGGCCCACGCGAGTCGAACCCTTGATACGAAATTGGGGACTCCGCCCCCGCATCCTGAGCCGCGCAAGGAACGGGAATAACGACCGGCCTGTATGCAAATACTCGGGGATCGTTCAGATTTCGCGAAGATTATTACGCCGGTCGTGCGTGCCCGGCAGCCTCCGCTTCGGGAATTACGCGCATGGAAATAGGGCGGGGGGCTGCCTAGAGCCCTCTGCAAAAACGCCCCGTCGCAGTGACATTACCGCAGGCCTCCGTCCTGAGGGGCAGTCGCTGACAAGTATTGAAACGGGGACGCTGCTCGTTTTACTTGTCACCCGCTCATTTCGTAGTCGAGACACCATTCGGCCGGTCCTTTGGCGCTGTTAAACGCGGGGCGCAGGGCTACCGACTTAAAAATCACGTCGCATTATTAACTTCCCGGTGGAAGCGCTTTTTCTCCGTGTCCGCAAGAAAAATTCTCATCGGATAAACCAATTAAATAGTGTGTCCGATGGTTTTCCGATGAAATTATAGATACATCACCTCACATTTTTCATCGAGTATACAATTTAATCGGATATGTCCGGTTATTATTACGTAATTGGATTATCCGATTATATTTAATCGGGCATTTTTCTCACGAGGTAACCGCAAGAAACCACCCCTCACCGATCTTAATGAATAAGGCTTCTTTCAAACGGTCATTTCCAAGTATAAAACCTCACGCAGGCTTTCCCCTCGGAAACGTTTTGTTCCGAAGTTATACGCGGAGGATGTACCTCCAGTAACACAATCCAATATTCGACCGCATTTTAGCCAAAAATTTTTAGCCAAAAGTCTGCGTAGGGTTTTATACTTGGATATGACCTTTCGAAAGAACCCTTATTCATTAAGATCGATGAGGGGTCACTTCTCGCGGTTTCCCTTGCCAGTGTACGTATGCAAAAGTAGTTTACAAAAAAGATGGTCTCTAAATAAGCAAGTTAAGAAAAACGTGATACAAACATTATAGATTATATGTAATTTATTTCGATAGCGTAAGAAAATTTTGTTTTCCTATATCTACCTGCTAAGTTCACATGTCTGTCTGCCTTCTGAAGTTGCGTAACGCATTTCACATGATTCGCAAGTAATTCTGGATATGCTATTTTTGTACACAGTAAGATAGGTATCCGCGAGCTTCGATAACGTCGAGATAGTGGTATTTTTCCGTCGCATCTCCGTCGTCATTGTCTGCGGCACTCCTGGCTATTCCTGAATCACAGGTTCGCATTAAGCGTTACACCCAGGGTGTGCGACAGGAGCCGGCGCGGGCGGAGGCGTCATTGTCGCTCCTTTCCTCCGTTTCTACAATTGCGTCATAACGACAGCCCTGCAGCTCGTATGGCTAGAGAGCATACAAATCGAATCGCCAACGATCATTTGTCAAGCGAGAACGTCCGCAACGAGCGCGAAGCGTTGGCGCGAGCGGCTAAGAGACCGCGGATTACCGAACAGGAATATGCAGGAGCGAACGAGAAGAAGTAGGAGTAGGAAGAAGAGGAGGAACGGGAGAAAAGGAGGCGGAAGAAGAGGAGAAGGAGGTGGAGGAGGTGGAGGAAGAGGAGGAGGAGGAGCGCGAACGGTAATGCTTGGTGGTGGAAGAAGACGGTAAAGTCTCCTTGCACCTACCGTATCTCGCCTGGGAGAGTGATATTTCTATCGTCGACGTTGAAGCAGGAACGTGTTAACAATCCTCGCCTCGGCGTTCAGCGATTGATGGCCGTGGAAAGCAGGATTTATTAATCTCGACTATTATCACTGTGTCCGCCGCGCGGCGAGACTCTATCGACATTTGAGTCAGGTGCAAATAATGGTAAGCGATATTCTCGTAAGGACCTGCTTTTCCTCTTGTCATTATGTTTTCCAGATAGACCTTTATGTCCTTACGTAAATATCATTTGCCATTATTCACTGTTATGCTTTTCAAGCGTCTTGTCTTGCGCGAGTCTATTCCGCGAGGTTCGACATTTCCCTTTCTTCTTATTCATCTCGTGAACGATTAAACACATATTACCCAGACAACGGTGGAAACGATGTGTTAATTTGGTTTTTTTGTACGCTACTAACGGTACGATTTCTATAAATCTTCTTCCTCGTGTATTAGGCTTAAAGCCTGTTTTATCCAGTTTTCGTTCTGGTGCTTTGAGCATTTGGTTTTACTTCATCTTCGGTAGGCTGCTAACCTTGCCGAAGGAAACCCCCCATCCGGAGGGAAATTTGTATAAATAATCTCGCAAAACAAGTATTTTCGATTTAATAGATATCATGAAATTGTTTCTGCGTCCGATGAATAAGCGAATTTGACACAATGCAAGGGATATATTCGGCGAGATGGAGAGATTTTGTATTATTCACACAGTTGCGTAATTATGACACGCGACTAGTTACTTTCATCGAGGCCGTGCCTCGAGCGCGCGATCGCGGTTGAGAAAGATTAGAGGAATCGAGAGAGAGAGAGGGGGGGGGAGGAAGAGAGAAAGAGAGAGAAGAGAGACGTCGATGCGTGGATTGCTTTATTAAATTTTGCGCAATGCAAACGATTTTCTAGCTGCAGCGATGCGCACGAACTGACGTCCGAGCAATAAATCACGCGGCGGAATGACACCGGCACGACGACGGTTCCATCGGTATCTTCGGTTCTCCAGTGCCCATCATCCTCCTCACCCTCCTCGATCCCTCTGGGGTATGTTCTCACTTTTGTGTCACCTCTGATCTCGTCATACCTGAGTGCAGAACTGAATTGTACTCCGAGCGGTTTGTACATTCCATTGCGAGATTTACAGAGAGGGCTTTCGGATTTGTAATAACAGCGATGCTAGATCGCTAGAGGGAGAAACAAAATTTTCTAACCTTTCGAAGATACAAAAAGTTGATAAATATCGAAAACTTTAATTATCTCTAGCAAGTCCCTTGCCTCTCTCGCTCTTTCCTCGCGGGCACGCGGCCGAACCGCACGTCATTTACTTACATGAATGTGCTCTAACGTGGCCAACGGGTGATTGAGTGAGAACACAAACACGTCGACCGGGGCATTAATTTAAAAAGCGAGCTCCGAAATTCCGACGGATGAGAGAACCGCCACCCACGACGATCGGATTTTCGCTGCGTTCCCTGGGATAATGTGTTCCGCGCGTGCAGACTGTAATATAAGGATTAAGTAAATTATCCTTACACGCGTAAAATAAGGCACAAGGATAATGTTCTTTCGAATCATTAAGAAATCGGCGTAAATTGGCGCCGCGCTTCACGGCACGTTAAAATCGAGCTCCCGTTTGGTGAGAACGAGGCAGAAAACGTGCGTAATATCGCGTGCATTGTATCTCATCGTAGTTGATCTCCGAATCTTTCTTTGTATGCATAAGTCTGATGTAAGGTAACTTTGCAATATTTATTTCCGCACAAAGATAAAAGAACAGACACAGGCCGGAATGTGATCGTTCAGGTATCACACGCTTAATATTCCGAAAAAATATCAGGTGCGATTAATCACGACGCCCGAAAATTAGATTTCTGCTCGGGCCCGATAAGATCCGGCGCACATCATCAGGGATCTCGACAGCCACTTTATCCCGATCGACGTGCCGGCTCGTTGAGCACTGGAAACGTCTATCAGGAAACGTCGAAACGGGCCGAGGGATTGGTCAGTCGCGGGGGTGGAAATACCCCGCGGGCCGCTCCGAACGAGTCCGATGTATACACAAGGCTACGATATTTCCGTGTGTACGAGGCTCGAATGGCTCGCGGTAGAATGATTGATAATCGATCGTGCCGAACTGGCTGGAGTCTCGCGCATCCAACGAAGATGAATTCGTTCTGCGCCGAGGCCTAATTGTGCGCAGTCAGTGGTCCACCATCAGTGGACTCTGTACCGGGTTAAAGCACATCCGCACCTACGCCGAACGAGGGGAAAACGAAGAGCGCGAGCAGAAAGCGAAGAGAGAGAGAGAGAGAGAGAGAGAGAGAGA